GCCTGTGCATAACTCTGATTTTTCACGGTTTTCGTTGAATTTTTGGTCAAAATTTCGCCCGTTGCAGACGATATTTTTTCCGACATAACATTCGGAAACTACAGACGGCGTGTTAGCCTTATATGCGCAAATACGACCTTATATAAAACGTTCTACAGAAGTGCTATGGACAATACATTACGAGTTTCGCGCAGGTGCAGTACGTTCTGCCGATGTGCTGTATACACATGAACATAACACATCGGCAGAACGTACTGCACCTGCGCGAAACCCGTTATGTATTGTCCATAGCAATTCGGCAGAATGTCTCATGTAAGGTCGTATTCGCACATGTAAGGTTAACATCCCAGCTGTAGTTTCCAAATGTGACGGAAAAGAAGTTGTCTGCAACAGGCAAAATTCTGATGCAACGTAGACCAAAATTCCACATGTACATAAAACCTGTTCTTAGTTCTACACGCATGTTCGAATGGGCTTACAAGGTGGTCTAAGTACAAGACGTTGTCGTCTGGCTGCCAAAGTGCTTTATTCTCTCCAAGGAACCTTCCATTCGCGCCTTAAGTCTCCTGAAGTGTCTCAAGAAGTTTTCTCAGCCCTGCCCTCTTGAAGTCGGACTGCGGTACTCAGGCTAAGGCTCCCCACACACGAGACGCCCACTTACACGCGGTGTAAAGAAGTCGGAGTAAACACCAGGCGAAGGAACAGTCGCAGTATTAAAACCACTGTAAACATGTAAGGGGACCCGAGTACGTAGCCGTGTGGAACTTTCCCACAGTACGAGTTTTCCCACTTGGTTTGAAAGTTTGAAAAGGAAAAAAAAAATCGACGACAGGTGTTCGGGATTTTTCGGGGGCGGATCGGGAATACTCGGCAACCCTCGTGCTGCGTCGGACTCGATCCTTCCCCCTCCATTTTCTATCGTTAGCATATATGTTTTGTAGAATCCAGTACTCTGAAATTTTCATCATGAAAATTCTACCAATCTTTAATTTTTCACATTAAAAGATGTACCCAATTTTGAATACTACAGTTATGTTACATGCAGCAAACGTTTAATACTGTGTGTTGTAAAGCTTTGTTTGTTGTGGCGTGCTTGTAGTAGGATTTTCCGCTACGCTAGTCAACGAAGATAACGTGTACATCGCACATGGAGAGAACTATAAAAATACACAAAGAATGGACAAGATAGCTACATAGCACCCAAAAAGCCTGTCACGGCGAGTCAATTTTCGTTCATTAGTTTGATTGTATATGGAGTTAACATAGATCAGCTTTACATGGGTTTATTTTGCTGATTTGACGCAGAGTTGTGCTCAAGTGTGCATGAAACAAAATAAGGATAATCGGACAAGAAGACAAGAAGATATTTTTCGAGTGGTTTTGTCGTACATATCTTTTGTTGTATCTAGATGAAGCTGCTATAGAAATGTTCTTTTTATCAATGGATGTAAAGATAGACTTCTATCATTAGATAGGGACGGTGGGGTTTGAAAAAAAAACTGGTAAGAAAGAATTAAACGGCAATTATGATGAAACAAAAAAAAAGGTTGCGACAACTTTTCTGTAACAGTTGTTCCATTGTGAACTGGGCTGATACCTTCGTAGCCGAGCGTTCTTCGCAACCCTATGTGATATGAGTAATGTTATCTATAACTTTGAACGGGTGGTGGCCCCATGTGTCACGTTTATCAATATGATAAACAGTAAGTATACGTGAGTGTCAGCGTTAGTTTCCGACATACCGCTACGCCTAAGTTACAAACAGCGATGCTGATGTAACATTTCAAACTGTTTCGTGGTTGGCAAGATTTCCTCCTACTAAACAAGCAAACACAGTCGTCACAATCTCGTCTCTAAGTCATTTTCCAAACGCTTGTCGTATATACATGCATACATGCATACATACGTACATACACGTCGCATTTGTGAAAGAGGCGGTTGAGTCATCAAGTTTTGTTCTAGGTGGAACTCAAATTTCCAAAACCTGCAACCCTTTTACGCTGTAGGTTTCGCTGTTGACAAGATTCCCTCCTACTAAACAAGCAAACAGTCGTCACAATCTCGTTTTTAAGTCATTTGCCAAACGCACTTCGTGTATACATAGTTATTACATACACGTCGCATTTGTGAAAGAGGCAGTTGAGTCATCACGTTTTGTTCTAGGTGGAACTCAAATTTCCAAAACCTGCGCTTTTACGCTCGTAGGTTTCGTCGTTGGCAAGATTTCCTTCTACTAAACAAGCAAACACAGTCGTCACAATCTCGTCTCTAAGTTATTTTCCAAACACATTCGTGTATACATATAGTTATTACATACACGTCGCATTTGTGAAACAGGCAGTTGAGTCATCAAGTTTTGTTCTATGTGGAACTCAAATTTCCAAAACCTGCCACCCTTTTACGCTGTAGTGGGGGGTCCTTAGCGTCGGGCTATTCACGGCTACCATTAGATGGCCCGGGTTTTTCTCTTACTGATGTTTCTGCCTCCATTGTGAAGCGCCCTTCACATTGGCTCAGCTGCCCAGAAGGACTTCGTAACCCCTCTTGACCCCACTTCCCCAAGCCGAGCTGGAGGACCTGCGCCCACCCTCACAATAGCGACTTGGAGTGCCCGACAACAGTACTGAAACTCTATACAAGCCATGGACGTTTTGTTCTCCTTTTTTCTCTCCTCAAATACGGGATGGACGAAAATCGATGACATGTTTTGATGGACAGATTTGGTGGCCAGACTGTGTCAACGTCCTGAAAGTCAGAAAAGTACGCAGGGACAAAGGAACCGTGGCTTCGATTACCCATAAGGAACGTAAACTTTTCTTTAAAGTGCCTTTAAGTATGGAAATGTCTTGAGGAGTGAGACAGGATTCTTGCAAAGACCCCCCTTCCCCATATACGTGTGTGTGTGTACAAGTGATCATTTCAAGTCGTTACGAAACTATCGTCCAACGATGACTCAGGTTGCTTACGAAACTGTCATTATACAAGTTCTTACATAAGTGCCCGTGCAATGTATGTGTTTAAACCTATACCTTCTGGTGAGAAAAGAACAGTTGGGTTTCCACGGATTAGTCGTTCCGACATTGCTTTTGTATTCATGCGGTCAAACTTCTTGGGTGGAGCACTTGTTTTGTCAACTTGTTTTGATAGAAAACAGTTTACTTTTGCCTTAAGCTCAAAGAGAGATCTCTAAACGAAAGCACTCAGTTGAAAGTTGTTTCTCCGCAGTTGTGTGAATCATACTTGAATCTAAAGCTTTTTTTAAATAGAAATCTAGTATTAAAAGGCATAACATATCCGGTCACGTCATTTCCTCTTCGGATTTCAACATCTCACAAGAAATACATTGTTCTTCTGAACTGCACAGATGAACAAGATGGCAATTATGTAAGGTTTAGGTTGTAGTTTGTTTAGCATTATTTGTTATTTGTATTGCGAGTACAATGCATAGGAAGGACGGGAGGTTGGGGCACGCGGAATCCCCCCATTTTTCTGGCTTAAGATATTTGGTTTTGACGTGTGACGTACATGTTGTATGCTTGTGAATACACATAAAAAGCTTTGTGTTCTTAGTGAAATCGCGGCTGAAAGAAAGGAGCGCGTGCTGCCACTTGGATTTTCCCCGCTGTTTTCGTTTATTTTTGTTTCAGCGTGGAAACGTTTTTTCGAGACTAGTACTGCGCATGCCGGAGCAAGTTCACAATTGTCCAGATGTCTGTTTGAAATGTGTGATAGTGTGGTTCAAGCGCCACCAATTGCAAGTGGACCTGTCTAGCAGGACCTTTTAGCCTAGCTGTTAGTGCGTTGGGTTCGTGGGCTGGGGGCCAGGGTTCGATTCCCGGGAGCCTGGAGACTTCTTGTTTCTACTCGCCCATAGTTGTTCCAGTAGGAAGTGTTTGAGGAACAAGAAGAATCGGATAGAATATGACTGAGAAAAGGAAAGAAAGAGGACATGCGAAGAAGTATAGGGATTTGACAGATAAAGTTGAAGAAGGGAAAAGGGGGAAATCCCTGGGTAGCTTTACGATTTATTTGAAGACATTTGTCTTTTGATGCAGGGCCCCACTGAAAAGCAGTGTTACCACTGAGTGGGTTACCCTGGGTAAAAATGACGAAAGATGAAATGAAAAATGAATAAACGAAGGATTCAAACTACCCCCCCCCCGTCCTTTAAATGCACAAACGCATGTTAAAATTTACAGAATGGTGTACCTTTAAATCATTGATTTTCTCCATGCCTTTTAAACTATTTTCGCGCGAGGAAGTACCAGCACTTTCCACGAGAACCCGACACCGGGTCCCGAACAAACGCAGCCGGCTTATAGGTTAGGCGGGCGCCGGACAGGGCTCACGGCCCACCGGCCCACAGACACAAAGGTGTCCAACACTTGGGCAAATATTTTACCTGGGCTTAAGGAGAAAGCCGGAGGGATCGATTTAGACATAGGAAGCGGCGCGGCGAGCATCGGCAGCCGGCCGTACTCTGTGACTGTTTCGGGGGAAATCCTCTTTCCCGGCACAAGACGCCGAAATGGGCAGTCTTAGGAACCTTCTTTAAACAAATCACGGTCTAATTGGTTTCAAAAGCAGCTAGAATAACCGCCTCTTTGTTTGTCCACGGCTGCACACCGTCGGCTAGAAATGGCAGGAACAACAAACAAACTGTGCCAAACAGTGAAAGTTGATGAAAAACGAAGGCTATTGTGTCTTTTGGAGACGAAGGAAAAGGTGGTGTAACCCTTAAGCATAAGGAGGAAATGTTCTTCCAACAGTCTATATTCATCGATACTTGAGGGTAATGTGTCTTTGATAACTGGTTGTACTATGTACAGTGCAATGCGACTGCACCAAGGCTCCTTTTATGCAAGTACATATACACTAGGATAGACCTCTTCTCAATGTTCTGAGTAACTTGCACTTAACGTACAGAGAATACCAACGGCTTACAATTCATATTTTCCATAAAACCATCCTACGAAATTGAACAGAAAAAAAAAACTCACGGCGTCGACATCTTCTATCTCTTCTGCGGACGTCGCGTCGACGTTCGCCGAGAACATGACGGCACCGTCCCGTCCCTGAAGCATCTGGGCAGCTGGGCACTGCTCCTTCTCTCTATTCCTCTCTCTCTCTCTCCTTCCCTCTCTCTGTCCCCCTCTCTTCTTCTACAGCGGCCAACTTTCCTCAAACCACCTGGGTTCGATTCTTGTTTTTTCCCGTTAGATTTTTAGACGCCAGTCGTTCGCTGTAAGAAATTGGAGGATGATCGAAAAAAAATTGTGAATTTAGAATTAATCTCTTACTCCAACTATAGGAGTTGCGGTAACGTAGTAAGTTTACGGGAGCTCACAATCCTCACTCCACGCACGTTTTAAGAGATGCCAGCGGAAATTCCTTCTTTTCTGAACTTCGCAAAGTAGACGTCAATCATTATCGGGGACTTTTGGCATTGTTCTCGAAGGACCAAACGGCTAATGACACTTCCCCTGTTTTGTTCACCGTGTCCATGGCAACAGTGTCAAGAAGAGGCTGTCCAACTAAAGGGAGCAACGAACCCATGTGTTTTTGGTTTTCGCAATACGTGATTTTGTGTGATGCAACGAAAAGTCGTCCGAAGAAAAAAAACATCTCACAAAAAAGTTGTTGATGGTTTCTTTACCTTTCTCACCCACTTCGACAGGTCTGGATCACTCCAGCCGGCAACTGAGCAAACACACTCGGGCCGAGATTTTTGTACCCCCCTTTTTTGTCGGACGAGAGTCGACATTTGCGTTGACAGAGTTTCGGGATTTTGAGCACAAAACTGTGTGTTCTGTCTCAACTCCGTTGCCCAACACCCGTAAAGATAGCCAGGCGACGCAAACACTTTGATGACAATCACAATGACAACTAGAGATACGACGGATAAAAAATGGGAAGTGCAGGGGTAACTCTTGACAAACTGGACTCATTGTTGCGACCCTAGTAAGCGGTTTATTTCTCTCTCCCCCGGTTGAGGTTGGACCCCTCAGGCCCTGTACAAGAGTGCTACAGAAGTGTCCCGCCGACATTTTTTCGGCCGGTGGCCCCTCTGATGTGGTGCTGCGCTATGTGCTCTTGAGCAATTAATAGCGTGTAGACCGTGTTGTTTTACGTGCTTCAAACGGATACACAATTTTGATAGCTTGTGTAAATTGTGAAGGGGCTCAAAAATGGCGGGCGTAAGCATGTTTTGTGGCGCGTTTCTAATGACAACAAATACAAGGACACTGTTGAATTTTATCATAACTGATTCCATATCAAATTCAATGTACATGGTCGAGTAACTGCGTAAGTGGTAGGTCAAGATAACGACATAAAGACTGGTCTGAAGTTATATAATTTCTATCTGCGAAGCGAAATTAATAACACCAACTTTGGGATAACTTTGAACGAAATACATCACAATTTAGGGGAAGATCTTTTTTCGCATGGAAAACATTTGAGCGAATTTTACGCAGTGCATTCGACATATATTCTCATATTTACTCCTTTTGATATTTGCAAATCACTTTTTTGTGGAAAAACTGGAAAGGAAGTATAAGTTGCCTGCTACGACACAACTATGAATAATCAAATCGATTCAGAATCCACATGAGGAACTGAATTAGCACAGCAAATTTTCCTTGAACAAAAATACTAGGACAACCACCACATTTTGACGCCTTTTTTCCCCAGAAAGAATCAGTTTTCAACCATTTAAATAAAGTCAGCTTTTCACCCCATGCAAGCACTCTACGACGTTTTGAATTTTCCCCCTTCCAATTGTTTCACTCTGTCCAGATTATATGAACGTTTGACAGATATCAAGGTGAATATAGGAAATTTCAGCGTATTCCAAAACACCAAACTCTTCTAAAATCATGCTACTCCAGGATTTGAAAAATAGTAATAGATTTGCAAAATAGAACGTACCTCACGAGATGCAAATTGCGTTGAACAATGACTGTCAAGATGACAAAAATGAGAATGTTTGAGAAAAAAAAACAACTTTTCCTTGGTCCCCAGTCTGTCAGCCCTGTCTTGTGACGTGTACTATCCCCTGACCAAGTCGCACCAGTAGTCAGCCAAAATGATCTAATTCGGCGGAAAGTTTTGTTTTTCTTTTTGTTGTGAAGAAAACAATAAGGAAGGTCCATTTTTGCACAGGGGAGTAGTTCGTTCGTTCATTACAAGTGCTAACTTACCCTTTATTACATTTCACAACCTTAAAAAAGCCCCTAATACTTATCAATCGTGAAATATCTTGATCACTAAGTTCGAGATACCTGATAGATATTCTGATAATAAAAACTTACAAAGCTTAAGTACAGGTTATCAACTAATGTACAATATAGTAGACCTCTTAGTCAAACTGACTGAGAACAGAAATCGAAATTTAATTCTTACGTTTAAAAAAATTCATAAAATATCATACATCCATATACTTGCTCAGCAGATTATCACTATGTAAGGAATGTCCAGTTATACGACATTGTATCGCAAAAGTAGCAGAATTGAGACTGTAATATCGGCTGATGTATTATCCTGCACACCCCTACATCTCGCCAGAGTTGGTAGCGACCAAGAGGGCGATGTAAACACCCCTTCAAAGCACCTGCTCGGTTCCCTCGTCTCGTGTTCCCCTCCAGCCCCCCTAACTAAACCCTTGACGACCCAGGTCTATTCAGGTAGCACGCCCGCCCGGGTAGCTTACTGTACAAGTACAATGGACACTTCGCACTACCTATACAGACTTAGACATCGGCAAACACATTTAAACTTCTCATGTCTTTTTTGGGGAAAAGCTGATATATAAGGCTGCTGTAACATGACGATTTTTAACAAATTGAATTTAGCGGGAAAAACTTCTTATATCTGTTTTTCAACTCTAGAAAATTTTGCAACATTTCAACTTCATCCCAAGGCAGTATTGTTTTTGGGTCGTCCGTCGGTCTGTCGATTTAGATATCTGTGTGTCTGTGTTTCCGCGATTCCAAATATACACAGTTCAGGGTTGCAATACAGTACGCATTGCTGAGAGGACAGGAAGGTTCGCAATGCATTATGGGTATGGGTGTGAAGTCTGCCACTGCTGACATCTTTCACTGCCTTCTTTCACTTTTTATGCAAAAGAAGCTAGTTACATCAGAGCATGACAACAATCCCCTAACCGAGACGGGGGGCGCCATAAACTTTATGCAACTTATGATGATCTACTGCTCACCTATATATTGTATAATCACGTGCTATTCCTGCTGATGAAGTGACGTCACAGAAGCGGTGGAAGACCCGAGTAAGGCTGTAGAAAATTGGGAAAGTCCAATTTTTGTTTTGGGAATTTTAGTTTAACGAAGGTAAGTTTTGAAAAATCCTTCCCGCACCAGGTGGTGCATAGGGCGGTGCCTATCTCCGGTTCAATAGCCCATGGGCCACACAGTAGTGCAATCACGACAGAAGGGGGCTAGTTCACTGGTAGTGGTGTATGTTTAACTCCCATACTATTTCCTGAGTGCTAAGTATGTATCAATTTTAAAGACCCGGTCGGGGATCGAACTCAAGATATACCGAATGCAAAGCGAGCACTCTACCCACTTGGCCATTTCATCAAGTTCCCAAATTCCTGGCATGACTTGCAGACGACAGGTGCCCCTACCTGACGCGGCAGCGAGTGGAGCTCTCAGGCCGGTGAGGGGACATGTGGCGGGGCGGGTGATCTCCTCCACGCGGCTGCTCGAGTCGTGAAGTACCGGTACCCCGAGGTCGAGATGCGGTCCGTCCACGTGTTACTGTTTCTGAACCACTAGGACTGTATAGATCTGTATATCGGTATAGCCGGTATAACCACCCTTCGGTATAACACACCAGCTTCGAAGGCAGGTGGCGCGGCGGCAGCTAGCTATATCACACCGAACGACTTGTTACGCTCAATCTTTGCACATTTGATTGCAGGGGTTGTTTAAAGCTTTCTAGTGATGTTACCCCAACTGTGTTTGGTGGCAATGAGTTCCACTCTACGATAGTTCTTGGAAAATGAGAGTTACATGTATTACCACAAAAGCAAAATCTAGCACTGAAATATACTAGTTTATCATCTCACACGTTGACAACATAAGGCCACACCAAGTAAATTTTATGGATGACGTCCTTTGGAGACTCCAAATCTAATGCGAGAGGGCGAAAAAAAAACAAGAAGGGCCCAAAAAAACAAGATGCCTAGATTAGAAATATACTAAGAGACGACACATGTTAGGACACAAATTGAATGAGGTGACACAGTGTAAACAAGCAAGAAGTCTTTTATTCATCATCAAAACAGTAATGAATCAGGTGGAACAGCAGTTGTCCCGTTCTGTTTCTTTCATCACATTTTGCAGACCTGCAGAAACAAAGCATAAAAGGCAAAATTAGTTGCTGATTAACCCTTTGCATGCATTACTACATTTCTACCTATGCAAATAGTCTATAGGAGCGTTTGAGAAAGAATATCAATAAAGGTGGAACCAAACAGAATATGTTTAGAGCTATTCTACATAAGTTGCGTAACGTATTTAAGTAGGTAACAAATGTATGCCTACCTGACAAACAGGGTTTATTGTCTGGTATGCAGCAGTCTTCTCTGCTGGTATGGGCAGCGTTTCCTCCTCGCCGCAGTTCCAGCACACCAAAGGCAGCATGGTCTTCATCACCCCTGACTTCAGTCTGGCTGAATAGTAGTACTGTGCTACTGGTGAAGTGCATGTCACTGCCCTACATGAAACAGGTGGAAAATTATGGAACAATAGTCAATTGTGCTAAAATCCAACTCTTCAGAAAAAACTTCTTTTTTTTTCAACATAGAGGTTTAGGTTCTATGTTGTAGTTAAATGTACGTCTTTACTGTCCCCAAAGTGCCTTAAATTAAAAGGGTATATTCTGCAACAATCCATATCAAATGTACCTCATTACTCACCTGTGTTGTTATTGCTACATTGTTGTGTGCTCCCAGTCCCAGCGTAGGCTGGAAACATCCACTCCTGCTGACCTTGTTCTCTTGATGCTTTCATCATACCTGCATACATGTGTACATGTGAAAGGAAAAGTAAACCTTATGTTCCTAGTTCACAATAAATGTGTCTTAATGCAATCAAAGAAATTGAAGAGCAGACAACGTTACTAAATTGGATATCAAAGCTAAAATGATGGGGAAAAAGAATTCTTTAAAAAAAATTAAAAATCCCCCCCCCCAAAATAGTACTTCAAAAAGAGCTTTGAGCTTGAATGCGTAGCTATAGATGCCAAAATACCTTAAAAATCCGACTGAAAATTAGCAATTTACTTGCCAAATGTGAACCAAAAATTTAAGAATAAAAAAAAAACACATATTTTGCCAACATCAAGTATAAATAACCAGAAACGAATAAACGATCATTATCCATGCAAAATACCTGCGAGGAGCCTTGATACATGTAACGTTATGCATTTATTTTATACTCCCCTTCTAGGAATATTTCACCCGTGTTTTTTTCCGTACAAGGTATTCGATTCAAAACAGACTTTTCATACCTCAAAAGCAGTCTTAGCCCTGGGAACAGCTTCAGTCGTAGAAGCTGTCTTGTCGATCACCATACGGATGAAACACCACATCAAATGCCTTCCGACCTTCTCGTCATAATTTTGCAGAAGAATTGCACTGTGTAGCTGATCTTGACAAAACTTGCTTGAAATTGTATGGTCGAAACTCACTCGCCGCTACAAGTCTGTCGTACAGTTACGCGAAAGTTAGCTCTCCCTGGCCTACATCGAGCACGTACCAGTCAACAACAACGTTTCCACACGCTTTTACGACCTAACGCTCACATACTTAGCGACCAAGGGTGGTGAGCCCACCATCTTGCTTCTTTGAACTGTGGCGCGCGGACTCTTGTGCGCACGTACACCATCGTTTTGCGGCACATGTGCTCTTTACCCATTTCGCGTTAGCCTGAGGCTATTGACAGGATCGTCCTGTCAACAGCAGGAAATACTGCACTGCTGACAGGATCGTCCTGTCAATAGCAGAAAATACTGCACTGCTGACAGGACGTATCCTGTCAATAGCAGAAAATATTGCACTGCTGACAGGACGTATCCTGTCAATAACAGGAAATACTGCATTGCTGACAGGATCGTCCTGTCAGCAGTGCCATTTTTGACACTGTTGACAGGATCGTCCTGTCAGCAGTGCCATTTTTGGCACTATTGACAGGATTTTTTAAATCTTTCCATTTTTGGGCTCTATTGACATGATTTCTTCTTTGTTTTCATTTGTTTAACCAGTCAGAAGCCATATGCTACAGTACTGCAGATTAGGCGTTTCACGATGGCGCTAACAGTTATCAATACAGAGTACTCCAGCAGATATATGTCAAAACTAGACATGTTCAAAATATAAATACAAGCGAATTTCATGCATAAGCTGTCTGAAATACGAAGGCGGTTACATAAGATGAAGACAATAAAAAAGACAAAAAGAAGTTGATCTCTATCCATTATTTATTCTTTCAACAACTTCGAAATCAAATGGAACAAATCCAGGAAAGTACCACTGGTGTGGCCGGTTCAGCTAGCCGGCCCGCTAACAACAACAGCCCCCCTGGCGCGCGTATCCAGCTGGCCACCGAATTTTACCGGCCCCACTGGGCCCCACAGTACCGGCACGCTGCAGGGCCTGGCACGCTGGTTAGTGTTACTGGGGGGCGGGTTGTTGTGTTGCTGTTAGCACGCCTGGCGGTTAACCCTGGGTGCCCCAGAGTCCGGCGTTTATTTGGCGATAGATTTCGGGAGAAACCGTATTTGTCCGCTACCATTATCC